AATGACATTTATATAAACGATAGAAACAAACTGAAAGAATTAAGCTTAATTCACAAAGTTTTTTTTTATTATTATTGAACATTTGAATTAATGTTAAACCTCATCACCATTATCAAGATTTTCAACAATGTTTTTATACTTTTTGTTCTTTTTTCAAGGTTGTGCTTTGCAAAATGCAGCTACACTGCATGGAAATTAAATATAGTAATAATATAAGAGATATAATATAATATATAATATATAATATAATAATATATAATATAAGAGATATAAGAGACTATTGGCAGAAAGGTGGGCTAGTGCAAAGATGAGTAGTGGGGGGGTTGAAGAGGGTTGGAATAGTTTTAAAAATGCAGTATTAGAATGTGGGGCAGAAGTTTGTGGTTTTAGGAGGGTGGGGGCAGGAGGAAAGAGGAGTGATTGGTGGAATGATGAAGTAAAGGGTGTGATAAAAGAGAAAAAGGTAGCTTATGAGAGGTTTTTACAAAGCAGAAGTGTTATAAGAAGAGCAGAGTATATGGAGAGTAAAAGAAAGGTAAAGAGAGTGGTGAGAGAGTGCAAAAGGAGAGCAGATGATAGAGTGGGAGAGGCACTCTCAAGAAATTTTAATGAAAATAAGAAAAAATTTTGGAGTGAGTTAAACAAGTTAAGAAAGCCTAGGGAAAATATGGATTTGTCAGTTAAAAAAGAGTAGGGGAGTTAGTAGATGGGGAGATGGAGGTATTGGGTAGATGGCGAGAATATTTTGAGGAACTTTTAAATGTTAAGGAAGAAACAGAGGCAGTAATTTCATGCACTGGTAAAGGGAGGTATACCATCTTTTAGGAGTGAAGAAGAGCAGAATGTAAGTGTGGGGGGAGGTATGTGAGGCATTACGTAAAATGAAAGGGGGTAAAGCAGCTGGAATGATGGGATCATGACAGAAATGTTAAAAGCAGGGGGGGATATAGTGTTGGAGTGGTTGGTACTTTTGTTTAATAAATGTATGAAAGAGGGGAAGGTCCCTAGGGATTGGCAGAGAGCATGTATAGTCCCTTTATATAAAGGGAAAGGGGACAAAAGAGACTGTAAAAAATTATAGAGGAATAAGCTTACTGAGTATACCAGGAAAAGGTGTACGGTAGGGTTATAATTGAAAGAATTAGAGGTAAGACAGAATGTAGGATTGCGGATGAGCAAGGAGGTTTTAGAGTGGGTAGGGGATGTGTAGATCAGGTGTTTACATTGAAGCATATATGTGAACAGTATTTAGATAAAGATAGGGAAGTTTTTATTGCATTTATGGATTTAGAAAAGGCATATGATAGAGTGGATAGAGGAGCAATGTGGCAGATGTTGCAAGTATATGGAATAGGTGGTAAGTTATTAAATGCTGTAAAGAGTTTTTATGAGAATAGTGAGGCTCAAGTTAGGGTGTGTAGAAGAGAGGGAGACTACTTCCCGGTTAAAAGTAGGTCTTAGACAGGGATGTGTAATGTCACCATGGTTGTTTAATATATTTATAGATGGGGTTGTAAAGGAAGTAAATGCTAGGGTGTTTGGGAGAGGGGTGGGATTAAATTATGGGGAATCAAATTCAAAATGGGAATTGACACAGTTACTTTTGCTGATGATACTGTGCTTATGGGAGATTCTAAAGAAAAATTGCAAAGGTTAGTGGATGAGTTTGGGAATGTGTGTAAAGGTAGAAAGTTTTAAAGTGAACATAGAAAAGAGTAAGGTGATGAGGGTTGTCAAATGATTTAGATAAAGAAAATTGGATATCAAATTGGGGAGGGGAAAGGGGTATGGCAGAAGTGAATGTTTTTAGATACTTGGGAGTTGACGTGTCGGCGGATGGATTTATGAAGGATGAGGTTTAATCATAGAATTGATGAGGGAAAAAAGGTGAGTGGTGCGTTGAGGTATATGTGGAGTCAAAAAACGTTATCTATGGAGGCAAAGAAGGGAATGTATGAAAGTATAGTAGTACCAACACTCTTATATGGATGTGAAGCTTGGGTGGTAAATGCAGCAGCGAGGAGACGGTTGGAGGCAGTGGAGATGTCCTGTTTAAGGGCAATGTGTGGTGTAAATATTATGCAGAAAATTCGGAGTGTGGAAATTAGGAGAAGGTGTGGAGTTAATAAAAGTATTAGTCAGAGGGCAGAAGAGGGGTTGTTGAGGTGGTTTGGTCATTTAGAGAGAATGGATCAAAGTAGAATGACATGGAAAGCATATAAATCTATAGGGGAAGGAAGGCGGGGTAGGGGTCGTCCTCGAAAGGGTTGGAGAGAGGGGGTAAAGGAGGTTTTGTGGGTAAGGGGCTTGGACTTCCAGCAAGCGTGCGTGAGCGTGTTAGATAGGAGTGAATGGAGACGAATGGTACTTGGGACCTGACGATCTGTTGGAGTGTGAGCAGGGTAATATTTAGTGAAGGGATTCAGGGAAACCGGTTATTTTCATATAGTCGGACTTGAGTCCTGGAAATGGGAAGTACAATGCCTGCACTTTAAAGGAGGGGTTTGGGATATTGGCAGTTTGGAGGGATATGTTGTGTATCTTTATATGTGTATGCTTCTAGACTGTTGTATTCTGAGCACCTCTGCAAAAACAGTGATAATGTGCGAGTGTGGTGAAAGTGTTGAATGATGATGAAAGTATTTTCTTTTTGAGGATTTTCTTTCTTTTTTGGGTCACCCTGCCTCGGTGGGAGACGGCCGACTTGTTGAAAAAAAAAAAAAAAAAAAAAAAATAATATAATATCCTTATTTCTACAAGTACATGTACAAGGTATACAGGCCTATCCGACATCAATGATATACTACTATATAGAAAACCGAATGTTATGCAGAGCATTTCAGGCAAATTAGGTCACTTTTGTCCCAGGATGTGACCCACACCAATTGACTAGCACCCAGGTACCCATTATTGCTGATGGGTGAACATGGACAACTGGTGTTAGGAAACATGCCCAATGTTTCCAACCTTTGATGGGAATTGAACCTGGATCCTCACCATGTGAAGCAAGAACTTTTGAATAAGACCAAGGTGAAAACTATTATACAATGTCATTACCTATTTGTAATTACCTATCTGTGAGGAAGAGGAAGGGTAGGGGGTGAGCTCAAGCTCTTGTCCTGCCTCTGAACTTTTGACATGACTAAGCTTTCTTTTTTCTTCTAACACAATGTAAATATGTAATGACATACGACATACTATATAGAAACCCCTAGTTATGCATAGCATTTCAGGCAACTTCGGTTAATTTTGTCCCCAGGATGCAACCCACACCAGCTAACACCCAGGTACCTACTCACTGTTAGGTGAACAGGAATAGAATGTGTCTTAAGGAAACTTGCCTCAATGTTTGCACCCATTCCTGGGATCGAACCATGGACCTCAATGTGTGAGCTGGGTGTGTTAGCAACCAAGTTACGGGACACCAAGGTAGGGTAACCCCCTTCCCCCCAAAAAAAGAGGAAACACTTTGACTGTCATTCAATCACTGTCTTGAAAGATATACCTATCTATTCTGTTCTTATATGTATTACCTATTACATGGTTCAAGGGGATTCAACAGGGAAAAAAAATCAGGTTCTTTTCTAGAAGCAACCCATCATGACAGTAAATGAAGTTTATTGTGTGATGTAGGTCCCTTTGCTTGTGAGGTCTCTGAGGGAGACCTAACTAACCAGTAAATTGTCACACACCTTGCCTTGGCAAATAGCTGTCAGACACGCCTCTTGGCTTAAGTCTAAGATCCTTTGTTCTTGAACTAGCGTCAGGTCAAAACACGTGGTGCACGCCTCATTGGGGAAGGTGCTTGAAGGACCATATAAGCTCAAGGAAACAGCTAGAGAGCAGAGATTCGAGCAGAGCTCTGGCCTGTGTGCAGAACTGTGGGCTAGAGATTCTGGTAGAGCTACTGCCTGTGTGCAGAGCTTCAGGAGAGGGTTACTGGAGAGTTTCTGGAGGAGGCTCTGTTAGAGACTAGGCAAAGTACAGTGGACCCCCGGTTAACGATATTTTTTCACTCCAGAAGTATGTTCAGGTGCCAGTACTGACCGAATTTGTTCCCATAAGAAATATTGTGAAGTAGATTAGTCCATTTCAGACCCCCAAACATACACGTACAAACGCACTTACATAAATACACTTACATAATTGGTCACATTCGGAGGTAATCGTTATGCGGGGGTCCACTGTACTGGCTGGAGCAGTGCTTGTGCTGTGTAGGTCTTGGGACCTGTGGCTAGTGTGTGACTGAGTTCCTGTGGTGAACTGTCCTCTGAACTATATAAGTTATATTCTGTTTCATCAGTTGATTGTATTCTCTTTTTCACTGCTTATGTGTACCATCCCCATTTATCTAAATCAAATAGTGTTCTCCTGTTCCCAAATATATTATTTTACAAGGACTTAATAATAAACTGTGTTTGAGTGGAATAGTAATATTCACTATCCCAATTATTTATTCTTTTATTCATTATTTTATTTCAAGTACTGAGAGAGTAAGTAGTGTGGTGGTAGAGATAATGAGAGGTGATGGTGTAGTCACCAGTGACCTCACATTACCTCCACTCCTGTCACTCTACTCACCTCTCCTGCCTACTCCCTCCCTTTACTCCCTTATTCCCCAATTATCCTTTCATTCCATTGCCACCCCTACATGACACTCGCACTGTACTGGCTAGAAATTGCAAGATATTTTAATGATTTTTTTATAATTACCATTCGAATTCAAATTTCATTTTTGCACTATATTATGAAAGCACTGTATTCTACTAAGAATTTTTCCCATCTTGTGTAACAGCTGGTTCTTCATGAGTTTCAGTGCACAAAATGAGGTACAGTATTTCAGGTGCTTAGATTTATTGTACTACAAAGAAAATTTCATTTTTCATTTATCAAAGGTAAGACCATTGAAACTGGGAAAGAAATCATCTTTTCGTTTCAAGATTATAAATGAAGCAGTTGAATGAATCGCAAGAGGTGTGACTTAGAGTAGCATAATGTACCTTGGTGGTGGAGGAACACCCATCTGAACACTGAAGCAGAGACCATGTGCTTGTCGTGGCCCATGGTATGGATCTTGTCCTAGGATAACCACTTTGATATCCTGTAAGCTGCAATGATGAGTCCATGAAAATACTTGGTCGTCTGGTGGGTAAACTGTTGCTTTGCTGCGTTCTTGGACCAAAAATTTGCTCAGCTAATTGGTTAGAGAAAAAAAAAAAATGGGGCCATTTGGTTCATTAAAGATTCAATATTTGGAAAAGAATTCATATTCAGAAAAAAATGTCAGAATTCTCACTTTTAATAAGAAATTTAAAATTCAAATTACTTTATAAAGAAGATAATACTAAAGGACAACAAAGATCAAATTTTTTTTTTTTTGGAAACATTCAAGTTTGAAAAAGATATTACATACTCATAACACTAAATTAAAAAACTCAAAACAAATAAGTTATTTCTTGACTGCAAAAAATGCAAAAAACTCACTCCAATACAATAATACTTTTAATCTAGTACACTATGTGTAGGAAACAGATATGACTAATAATAATACCTAGGGTAATAATTTTATAATATTTAGGCATTTTTCCTATTTTATTAAATTAAATTCTTTGAGTGATGCTATTTATGTGGATAGGTATAGCACAAAAGTCAGAAAATTATACCTACTGATGAGAAGGGCATCCAGTAGATATTAAGAACCTATGTAAGAGATTACAGCATATAAACATGAGGAAATGATGAGACAAGCAAATGATACAATACAAACTGGGTAAAAGATCTATGCATTATTAAAAGAAAATAAACCACAAAAACCAATGGGATCCTTTGCATTTTTTTACCCTAAGTTTCAGCCCCAACAGTTAACTAAAATCTCTTGTTCATCTAGCAATAAACATTTACTTGTTTATTGCTAGATGAACAAGAGAAAGCAAATGTAAGGAGACTAGCCCATATGGCTCCCTCGTTCAGGATCTGAGCATAGGTTCTTTCCACTGTGAGCCGAACACTCCTACCCCTGACATATGAGTAGTCTGCTAAATTAGAAAGGTAGCATTCACCAACCTTTTCAAAGTAAGGCATTGAAAACTGGGATTTCAAGGCAAGAAACCAGGAGGTACCAATGTTTTCATGAAGAGCTGGTGTAGTTCTACTCTGTCTCTTTATTTCTGCCTGTAAAATTAAAAAAAAGAAAAACATAACATGCAGAACATTAATTTTGTGCTAAGGCAGTTATTAAAACTTTTTTTTATATATAATTTATACAATCTACATTTTTCTTCCTATTTGCAATACATACAGATCAGATGCAATACATACAGATAGGTAGTAGGTTGGTAGACAGCAACCACCCAGGGAAGTACTACCGTCCTGCCAGATGACTGTGAAACAAAAACCTGTAACTGTTTTGCATGATGGTAGGATTGCTGGTTTCTTTTTCTGTCTCATAAACACGCTAAGATAACAGGGATATCTTGCTACTCCTACTTACACTTTGGTCACACTTCACAGACACGCACATGCATATATATATATACATACATCTAGGTTTTTCTCCTTTTTCTAAATAGCTCTTGTTCTTTTTTATTTCTTCTATTGTCCATGGGGAAGTGGAAAAGAATCTTTCCTCCGAAAGCCATGCGTGTCGTATGAGGCGACTAAAATGCCGGGAGCAATGGGCTAGTAACCCTTCTCCTGTATACAATTACTAAAAAAGAGAAGAAGAAAAACTTTATAAAACTGGGTTGCTTAAATGTGCGTGGATGTAGTGCGGATGACAAGAAACAGATGATTGCTGATGTTATGAATGAAAAGAAGTTGGATGTCCTGGCCCTAAGCGAAACAAAGCTGAAGGGGGTAGGAGAGTTTCAGTGGGGGGAAATAAATGGGATTAAATCTGGAGTATCTGAGAGAGTTAGAGCAAAGGAAGGGGTAGCAGTAATGTTAAATAAATCAGTTATGGAAGGAGAAAGAGAATATGAATGTGTAAATTCAAGAATTATGTGGATAAAGTAAAGGTTGGATGCAAAGAAGTGGGTCATAATAAGCGTGTATGCACTGGAGAAGAGAGGAATGCAGAGGAGAGAGAGAGATTTTGGGAGATGTTAAGTGAATGTTATAGGAGCCTTTGAACCAGTGAGAGAGTAATTGTGGTAGGGACTTGAATGCTAAAGTAGGAGAAACTTTTAAGGGGGGTGTGGTAGGTAAGTTTGGGGTGCCAGGTGTAAATGATAATGGGAGCCCTTTGATTGAACTTTGTATAGAAAGGGGTTTAGTTATAGGTAATACATATTTTAAGAAAAAGAGGATAAATAAGTATACACGATATGATGTAGGGCGAAATGACAGTAGTTTGTTGGATTATGTATTGGTAGATAAAGACTGTTGAGTAGACTTCAGGATGTACATGTTTATAGAGGGGCCACAGATATATCAGATCACTTTCTAGTTGTAGCTACACTGAGAGTAAAAGGTAGATGGGATACAAGGAGAATAGAAGCATCAGGGAAGAGAGAGGTGAAGGGTTTATAAACTAAAAGAGGAGGCAGTTAGGGTAAGATATAAACAGCTATTGGAGGATAGATGGGCTAATGGGGCATAGGCAATGGGGTCGAAGAGGTATGGGGTAGGTTTAAAAATGTAGTGTTAGAGTGTTCAGCAGAAGTTTGTGGTTACAGGAAAGTGGGTGCAGGAGGGAAGAGGAGCGATTGGTGGAATGATGATGTAAAGAGAGTAGTAAGGGAGAAAAAGTTAGCATATGAGAAGTTTTTACAAAGTAGAAGTGATGCAAGGAGGGAAGAGTATATGGAGAAAAAGAGAGAAGTTAAGAGAGTGGTTTGAAGCAATGTAAAAAGAGAGCAAATGAGAGAGTGGGTGAGTGTTATCAACAAATTTTGTTGAAAATAAGAAAAAGTTTTGGAGTGAAGATTAACAAGTTAAGAAAGCCTAGAGAACAAATGGATTTGTCAGTTAAAAATAGGAGAGGAGAGTTATTAAATGGAGAGGTAGAGGTATTGGGAAGATGGAAGGAATATTTTGAGGAATTGTTAAATGTTGATGAAGATAGGGAAGCTGTGATTTCGTGTATAGGGCAAGGAGGAATAACATCTTGTAGGAGTGAGGAAGAGCCAGTTGTGAGTGTGGGGGAAGTTCGTGAGGCAGTAGGTAAAATGAAAGGGGTAAGGCAGCCGGGATTGATGGGATAAAGATAGAAATTTTTAAAAGCAGGTGGGGATATAGTTTTGGAGTGGTTGGTGCAATTATTTAATAAATGTATGGAAGAGGGTAAGGTACCTAGGGATTGGCAGAGAGCATGCATAGTTCCTTTGTATAAAGGCAAAGGGATAAAAGAGAGTGCAAAAATTATAGGGGGATAAGTCTGTTGAGTGTACCTGGTAAAGTGTATGGTAAGAGTTATAATTGAAAGAATTAAGAGTAAGACGGAGATAGGATAGCAGATGAACAAGGAGGCTTTAGGAAAGGTAGGGGGTGTGTGGACCAGGTGTTTACAGTGAAACATATAAGTGAACAGTATTTAGATAAGGCTAAAGAGGTCTTTGTGGCATTTATGGATTTGGAAAAGGCGTATGACAGGGTGGATAGGGGGGCAATGTGGCAGATGTTGCAAGTGTATGGTGTAGGAGGTAGGTTACTGAAAGCAGTGAAGAGTTTTTACGAGGATAGTGAGGCTCAAGTTAGAGTATGTAGGAAAGAGGGAAATTTTTTCCCAGTAAAAGTAGGCCTTAGACAAGGATGTGTGATGTCACCGTGGTTGTTTAATATATTTATAGATGGGGTTGTAAGAGAAGTAAATGCGAGGGTCTTGGCAAGAGGCGTGGAGTTAAAGATAAAGAATCACACACAAAGTGGGAGTTGTCACAGCTGCTCTTTGCCGATGACACTGTGTCTTGGGAGATTCTGAAGAGAAGTTGCAGAGATTGGTGGATGAATTTGGTAGGGTGTGCAAAAGAAGAAATTAAAGGTGAATACAGGAAAGAGTAAGGTTATGAGGATAACAAAAAGATTAGGTGATGAAAGATTGAATATCAGATTGGAGGGAGAGAGTATGGAGGAGGTGAACGTATTCAGATATTTGGGAGTGGACGTGTCAGCGGATGGGTCTATGAAAGATGAGGTGAATCATAGAATTGATGAGGGAAAAAGAGTGAGTGGTGCACTAGGAGTCTGTGGAGACAAAGAACTTTGTCCTTGGAGGCAAAGAGGGGAATGTATGAGAGTATAGTTTTACCAACGCTCTTTTTATGGGTGTGAAGCGTGGGTGATGAATGTTGCAGCGAGGAGAAGGCTGGAGGCAGGGAGATGTCATGTCTGAGGGCAATGTGTGGTGTGAATATAATGCAGAGAATTCGTAGTTTGGAAGTTAGGAGGAGGTGCGGGATTACCAAAACTGTTGTCCAGAGGGCTGAGGAAGGGTTGTTGAGGTGGTTCGGACATGTAGAGAGAATGGAGCGAAACAGAATGACTTCAAGAGTGTATCAGTCTGTAGTGGAAGGAAGGCGGGGTAGGGGTCGGCCTGGGAAAGGGGTTTGGGAGGGAGGGGGTAAAGGAGGTTTTGTGTGCGAGGGGCTTGGACTTCCAGCAGGCATGCGTGAGCGTGTTTGATAGGAGTGAATGGAGACAAATGGTTTTTAATACTTGACGTGCTGTTGGAGTGTGAGCAAAGTAACATTTATGAAGGGATTCAGGGAAACCGGCAGGCCGGACTTGAGTCCTGGAGATGGGAAGTACAGTGCCTGCACTCTGAAGGAGGGGTGTTAATGTTGCAGTTTAAAAACTGTAGTGTAAAGCACCCTTCTGGCAAGACAGTGATGGAGTGAATGATGGTGAAAGTTTTTCTTTTTCGGGCCACCCTGCCTTGGTGGGAATCGGCCGGTGTGATAATAAAATAAAAAATAACAGATCACATAAAAAATAAAAATAATTTTGAGTGAACTTATAGCAAAAACAAAAATAAGCTTCATGCTTCTGCTGTACAAGTTATATTCACTGTGTTTTTGTACAGTAATTTATAAACGAGTCACAACAAAATTACGTCAAAACAGCACATGCTTAGAGGCATGTACGTTAGTATAACATCTTTTTATGCACCCCACACCCATCCTGTGGGCAGTGGGCACAATTCCACATGCAAGCACACACACACAAGTACAAATACAATACGAGGTGCCAACTACAGAACTACTATGTAGATCAATGAGATTCCCTCCTCAGTGAGCCTACCTTCAGCTTATTTTGATTCATACGTTGTCTCTGCTCTGGAGTCAGGCTGAGCTGGGTATCTTGATCAGGGCATTTTGGGGGAGTTCCTGCAAAGAGTACATATCATTTATTTACTATAAGAACTGCACAATTAAGTAGTTATACAGTTTTTAAGTCAAAATGATGTTTAGAAATTGCAATTTTAGGTTTAAAATATGCAATTAAGATTATTCAATGTAAAGATTATTTCAAATACCAAAACACTATATATTAAAACAGTAATGCTGATATGAAGAGAAAGTACATGTAATACAAAACTGTATAAACAATTTAAGTTATAATAATTACTGGGGAGGGGGATGGAGTGTTGTGAATATAGTGATGGCAATAAGTGCATGAGTATGAGTGCTGATGAGAATCTGGATAAACAGGTTGCATTAGATACATTTAACACTTATATTCGATTTGCTTAAATTTACACCAAACTCAGTTATTGTTTTTAAAAAAAAAATTTTGAAGCAGTTAGCAGATAGGAAACTTTTAGGATCATAAGTATAGAAGTCCATACTTTTGGGTCTTTTATGTACAAGGAGTATCTTCTCAGGTTGAGTCAAACACATGGGAAATCGAAGAGATATCTGCTTCTTCTACTGTGCCTCTGCACTCTACTGTAGCTCTCTATAAACAGTTTTAGGACTGTGTAACTATGCGTATCAAGTGTCCTGTACACATATGCAGTATGCATAGTAGTAAGTGTAAATATTTTGTTTATTCTGTAAATTTAAACTTTTGGACAGCATGGGTGTTTGTTTTCTGGAACCTGAATCAGGGATCATTCTAAAAGCATAATTTATATCGAGTTCATGTGAAGCTCTTGCAAGCATGACTTCCTCATCAAGAAAAACAATCTAGGTCAACATTTTGATACTTTCAATATGTACTATCTGTAACCATTTATATCATCATGCTTCTTAATCATTTTTACCTGATAAAACATGGGCCCAAACCTTAAATACTTAAAAACAATCTAAGGTAACCATTTGTGTTCAGCACATACATTTATAAATATTTGTCATCATGTTCTAATATTTCTTGAGGAAGTTGCAACTTATGAAAGACAATATGAATATTAAAATAACTAGATACAGAAAAAGATTAAACTAAACAAATAAATACTTGTATACAGCAGTTACTTCTGGCAAATACTACCAATAAATATAAAGTAAAATGTAAAAATTATTAAGTGGAAATATGAAAACATGGATAACTAGAGCATTTTTTAATTTATACAACTAGAAAGTCCCAAGACTGTTCATGGAAAAGCAGACAAGCAGGAGAGCATGAGGAGAGGAGCATGAGGTAAGGATGGCAAGTTAGGTAAGTGCATTATGGGCTAAGTGATTTACAATTTATATGGAAGTGCCAAACCTGGAAGCAGCTTAACCAGTTCCGGGACCTTGCAGGGGTTAATCCTTTCACTGCTCATGTAGATCTGGGTCACTGATGCCAGTGTTGCTTACACAGATCTACGTTTTAAGTGCAGTGCCCTCAAATATGCTGCGAGTGATAAATTTTCACCTGGACATGAGAGGCAAACATTTGATCTTGTGTTTGGTTTAAAATAGCAGCTTAAGGTGGGTGAAATCACCAATGGGAAAATTGTGCCCAGACTGCCAACTTTGTTTCTGCGTAATTCTGTAAGTTTTTCATTAAACTTAATATATTTGATACCATTACCTTCAGAAAAAGATTCTTTAATAGTTCAAAAGAAAAAGTTATTCTTTTTTAAAATCACGACAATGTCAGCACTTTTAATTTTGGGGTCGAAACAGTGAAAGGGTTAATTAGACACCCCAGATATATTGTACAGACATTATTAGATCATAATCTGAGTATTAACAGATTGTGAATGAAGGGATGTAACAGAAAGAAAGATGGCACCATTAGTACAGCTCTATGGTGTAAGTGAAACCCTATGTTTTAGCGGTAACTGAGTGTTAGGAGTGTTGCACCTCAAGATGGAAGTGTTATATTTTATGGGATGAAAAACAGTGTTAGCACTCAAGACCAGAGTCAATGCCGACTAGAAATGTAATATTTGTCTTAAAAAAGCCTGCAACAAATTTTGTGTTAATCAGAGTTTATGCAGCTCTGGGATACTAGAAAAAAAAAAAAAGACTTGCTGTCAGGAAACTTTACTTAAGTCAATATTCTTTTGTAATAAAATCTTTATATAATTTCTTTTTTACAAATACAGTGGAACCTCAAATATCGAACTTTCTTTGGCTCAGAAGGCTGTTCGAGTGCCTTTACCGAATGAATTTATTCCCATGAGGAATAATGTAAATTAGGTTAGTCCATTTCAGACCCTCAAAAATACACTTACAAAAGCACTTACAAAAATACACTTACATAATTGGTTGTGTTGGGGCAGTTCGATTTTTGAGGTTCCACTGTAAATCAAAATTGCTATCCCTGGGTGGAAACAATGAGTGTGTTTCCAACACCTGCTGTCCCTATTCACTTAGCAAGCAAGTAGGTACCTGGGTGTTAGTCAAGTGATGTAACTTGCACTCTGGGTGACAAGACTGAAGGACCACAATGGAAATAAGATGGACAGTCTTTGATGACACACTGACTTTCTTGGGTTATCCTGGGTGACTAACCCTTTGGGGTTAAAAATCCAAACAAAATCTTATCTAAATATATATAAAAAATAACTAATAATTATCCAGTAGTATGAATGTTCTTCTCCAGTCTGAGAAAGAAACATAGGTTGTAAATAAGGCCGCTCAGCTTTTGAGGCATCTGTGGCCGAGTAGTCTAGAGCGTTACTTGGGGAACCTTGCTAGCCTCCAAGATGTGACTTCGAATCCTGCAGACCGCGATCTTTCTCTGTATATATCTTGTCGTTTCAGCATGGTTCTTTTAGTAGATGCCTCTCATAGGTCACATGTAAAAAATAACAGCTTTTTACCAAGAATTCTCCATAAAACTCAAACTCATACAACACATTTCCCATAAACACACATGATCATCAAAATGCCATTATCACAGCATTTTTTTTTTAACATACTTACTGGCGAGATCACAAGATGAATTTTTTTCCTCACTGGCCTTTACTTTTTTAGCGATATCATTATTCTGCAAATGAGATCAATAAATAAATGAAATTGAACATATTACTGGAAATAATCCATTTTTCTAAGCCAAAGTCAGTCTTCTAAGATAATCCATTTCATAAGATATGAAGCTACTTTTCTAGAAAATTACTGCACTTTTCTAAGAAGTGAGACCAGTTTTGCATAAAATGAGAACAGTTTGCAAGAAATTAAACCAATTATGCTTTAAATAAAACCAGTTTTTTAAGAAATGAGGTGAGTTTTTGAGATGACGATTTTTCCAAAAAATGTGAAGAGATTCTAAGAAAGAAGACCAGTTTTCTAAGGAACATGACCAGTTTTTAAAGAAATGGATCAGTTTTCCAAAAAATGAGGGTATTTTTTAAAAAATGTCAACAGTTTTCTAAGAAATGACACCAGTTTTCTTGTAAACAAGATCATTTTTTAAATGTAAATGTAGCTAAAAGTGAAAAAAAGTAAAAAATAATGAATCTACAACTGTGTGATTAGTAAAATAATAACTAACAAAAGGTCATGCAAAAATTGAAAATAAGAGCAAAGGCTGATTTATACACATGATGGTAAACACACAATTGCAAAGTATAATATAAATATATTTAATCTGGGAAGAGAAAGATATCTTTTTTCAGGGATCAACAGCCTTTCACCAAAAATAACTCATCATATAATTTATATATTATATACTATCCACATGCAGTTTTTCACACTTTTATGCTTTATCAGGGTAGGACCCCCACACCTCACCTCAGACAGCAGCTAGTGGGTTTTTACCATATACAGCCACACAAATAACTCTTATGCAGGAAAATGAGCTGACGTAGCTATGGAGCCACAAATACTAATGTGGTTAGGAAGAAAGGATGAAAACAACTGTCCACAAACAAAAGGGATAAGGGGGAATTTATTACAGGTGCTTAATGCAGAGTGAAATATCCCTACCCCACCAAGGGTGTAATAAAAATCCTGCAATGGTACTGATGATAAAAATATGAATACAAAGTACTTGCGCACTATGGCTGAACTGGTAGCAGCACCTTCAGCCAACATCTGAGGTAGCAAGACCTGGAGTATACCTGGAGAGGGTTTCGGAGGTCAATGCCCCCATGACCCAGACTGGGACCAGGCCTCGTGGTAAATTAAGGTGTGATAACCAGGCTGTTACTGCTGGCTGCATGCAAACTGACATATGAACCACAGCCTGGCTGGTCAGGTACTTACTTTAAGGTGACTGTCAAGTGTCTTCTTGAAGACAGCCAGGGGGGTCTATTGGTAATTTCCCTTATGTATGCTGAGAGACAGTTGAACAGTCCTGGGCCCCTGACACTTATTGTGTTCTCTCAATGTACTTGTGGTGCCCCTGCTTTTCACTGGGAAAATGTTGCATCTCCTGCCAAGGAGTGATTTTTGTGTGCAAGTTTGGTACCAATCCCCCTTGGATTTTCTAAGTGTATATTATCATGTATCTTTCTCACCTGCATTCCAGGGAATACAAATCAAGGGACTTCAACTGTTCCTAGTAATTTAGGTGCTTTATTGTACTTGTGTGCCATGAAAGTTCTTTGTACACTCTGCAGGTCAGCAATTTCACCTGCCTTGAAGGAGGCAATTAGTGTACAGCAGTATTCCAGCCTAGAGAGAACATGTAATTTGAAGAGAATCATCATGGGCTTGGCATCCCTAGTTCTGAAGGTTCTCATTATCCATCTTATCATTTTTCTAGCAGATGCAATAGATACATTGTTGTGGTCTTTGAAGGTGAGATCCTCTGACATTATCACTCCCAGGTCCTTCACATTACTTTTTTTCTCTATTGTATGGTTAGAATTTGTTGTATACCCTGATACAGTTTTAATTTGCTCAAGTTTTCTATATCTGAGTAGTTGAAATTTCTCTTCACTGAACTTCAAATTTTTTTGAGTGGCACATTTGAAGATTTGGTTGATGTCTGCTTGGAGTCTTGCGATGTCTTCGATGGAGGACACAGTCATGGCAATTCGGGTGTTATCTGTGAAGAAACACACAGAGCTATGGCTTACATCTCTGTGTATGTCAGATATGAGGACAAGGAATTGGAAGGTAATGGGTACTGTGCCTTGTGAAATAGAGCTTTTCACTGTAGCTGCCTCAGACTTTACTGTTTACTATTACTCTTTGTGTTCTATTTGTTAGAAAGTTATAGATCCATCTACCAACTTTTCCTGTTATTCCTTTATTTTACATTTTGTGCGTTATTACACCGTGGTCGCATTTATCGAAGGCTTTCGCAAAGTCTGTGTACACTACATCAGCATTTTCGTTATCCTCAATAGCATCCAGGACCTTGTCAGAGGTAAAGTAAATTTATTCATGTATACACAAATACAGTTACATAGATTATCATACATAGCAGCATATGTGTAGAGAACCTGGGATAATCTGTGATTCCTCCTAATTTACACTTACAGTCACCCAAATGACTGTAAACATAAAATTCCGATTAGAACTATTGCCTATTAATTCTTAAGCTAGTCATAAGTTTGCCTGAGATACTCTAATGTAGGAGCTTTAATAGATTATTATAATCATGGGGAGCGCTAAACCCGAAGGATTATACAACAGCTTTAATAAAAACTGTATATTATGTCAAGACAAAACCATTCTCATTACTAAATTTACAAATTGTAATATTCTTAAACGTTTTGAACTATCTCAAAATTGTAAATCTATTTAATTACTACAATTACCTAACTATAATAGCAGTAAGCTCCACAACCTGTGTCAGTAGAGAGTAGGAATTAGTATTAGTCTGCACGAAATACCTAGCATACCAGAGGCCTTCTTTGTAATTAACATTTTGTACGTAAACCACACATCGTAATTAATACTGTATATGTAATTATTATTATTATTATAATAAAAAAGAAGCGCTAAGCCACAAGGGCTATACAGCTGTATAATATGTAAACCCCACATTGTATCAAATTCAAATTCAAATTCAAAGTTTATTCTCTATAAGGATTACAATGCTGAGTTTACAGAAATTTGGTTAGTGTTTGGTTTACATGTAGTAAAATTGTGATTACAGAGTGTACCACTAGAACGCTCAGCATGGCTAGGCATTTCGGGCATTTAAATTTCAAAACCCCAAAAAAAGTCATCGGGCGACTTATTTCCACTGGGGTTGTTGAATGAACACCAACCTGATTATCTTCACTGGTCCTCTTCACGGATGGCTTAAAAAAGTTCTTGATTGTCTTTTGGGACGACATATTCCTGCAACAAGTTAAAACAGGGCTCCTAATGATTTGCTTAAGCCTGTAAAACCAGGCTGCTGCCGCCATAAACTGTTTACAAAAGATGTTAAGCTAGAACAAGAACTTCAGGTTGCTATTAAAGGACTAACTGGCATCCATTTATTAAAGTTCTGTAGGTTAACTTTTAAACACTAGATGTGTTGTTGTTGTTGTTGTGGAGCGTCATAGGGACACTGACAACTTGCGCCGTATCGAGCCCAGTTTCCCGGCGTCCGGTGAAACACTGTCCGATTTTGTGTGCAGAAAGAAGGGAACAAGATGCCTTTTGAGAGTGGTAATAGGAATTTAGAAAGAACATAGGCAAGTACTGTTTTTCAAATAGAGTTGTCGATGCGCGGAACAATCTTCCGAGTAGGGTAAGAGAGGTTAAGACCTTGGGTAGCCTTATAATAATAATAATATTAATACTATTATTATTATTATTATTATTATTATTATCTTTATTTCTACAAGTATATGAACAAGGTTTACAGGTGTAGCTGACACCAGTGACATACTACTATATAGAAAACCGCTTGTTATGCAGAGTATTTCTGGCAAATTAGGTCAAGTTTGTCCCAGGATGCGTCCCACACCAGTCGACTAACACCCAGGTACCTATTATTACTGATGGGTAAATATAGACAACCGGTATAAGGAAACATGCCCAATGTTTCCACCCTTTTGCCGGGAATCGAACCTAGACCCTCACCGTGTGAAGAAAGAACTTTTGCCACCAGACCACGGGCTGGGTTTGATTAGTACCTGAGGTATTGAAGCTAATTCTTGCGAAGCTTTAGGAAAAGGTTCGACTAGTTAGTGGGTGGAAATGGTTGGTTTAGAAAAGGACTTATCAATTTTGAGCCAGTAGGCCTGCTGCATTCTTATGTTATGAATACATAATTTCCATTTTGGACGTAGCTACTCTTCAGGAGCTTTATGAAGCAAAAGGTACCTGTCACAAGTGTATCAATAGGTACCTAGCTCCTGTGTCCTTTTATCTAACATTATTCTTCCCACAATGCTGTTATTATTGGGGCGGGCGGGTCACAACTACTATAGCGCTGTATGAACGCTGAAGCCAATATTATAGGTAGCAGAGAGATATGTAGAGATAAATACGTCCCTGATGCGTCTCAAGGCCCGTAGGAAGGCATAAGTATGAGCCAGGATGTCCTGATGATCAAGAGGGTCGTCCAGCCGTGTCGAGAAGGAACGCAAAAGGCCTCATGGCTCCATGCGGCCTTGTGCTCAACTATCTCTGGTTGAAAAGCAGGCTAGTAAATAGGAATGGGCACCATTAGCCATGCACACTTCAAACATTCAAGGGACCTTATCGACTGTGCCAAATACTTCAATATCAAGAAGAAGCTCTTCGACATATTGCACATCCCATCCCTATTTACCAATGTGTCAACCATACAAACCATTTTTTCCATAACACAGTCAGCGATACACTGGACCTCTCAGTTTCCTGCCATGAATTTGTCGAACTGATGGAACTATGCACAAATTAAATAACAAATTAAACTGCTTTGGCTATGGGGATAAAAAATACAGTCGAAACTTCGGAATGGCCATGAGCTTCCCAATGGAGCACCTCGAATCCTGTCGTACAAAACATATCATAGCATCGCTATGTTGACGACACGCTCTTGTCATCTTTCCCAAGAGACTCAGTATACAGAACATCCTCAACACCATCAACAACAACGATCTGACCATTAAATTAATGTTAGAGGAGAAAAGGGGCAACTATTTACCTTTCCTGGATGTCTTCCTACACACAGGTGGCTACAGACTTATATTTAAAGTTTACACTAGTACACCAATAAGGGCGACCTTATTCACTTCCACTCGCACCAAGATATCAGAATCAAGTGGAGTGTCATCACTGTTTTCTTTCTTAGAACTTATAGCATCTCCAGCCCACAGTTTCTCGAGATGGAGTTCTTGTATATCAGAAGCGTTTACGAAAAGATTCAGTTAAGCTATACTTCATCTCTGAGTGTAGAAAGTGTGCCCTCCAAAATGTCAGAGATGGCAATGAGGGTATACATGAGGAAATCTCCACTAAGTCCTCGGTAATAGTGTGGCCAATAACACTTTTCCAGCTCTCATAGGGAGTCACATGAAAGTAGTCAACTCGATTCGAGTTGGTTTGCCGGTACTTCAGGCCCGGAAGTGCCGGCCTCCAGCCTTCTTCTTGTTGCAACATTCACAACCCGTGCCTCACACCCATACAAGAGCGTTGGTATAACTATACTCTCATACATTCCCTTTTTTGCTTCCACGGACAAAGTTCTGTCTCCACAGACTCCTAAGTGCACCACTCACCCTTTTCCCCTCATCAATTCTATGATTCACCACATCCTTCATAGACCCATCTGCTGACGCGTCCACTCCTAAATATCTGAAGACATTTACCTCCTCCATACTCTCTCCCTCCAATCTGATATCCAGTCTTTCGCCACCTAATCTTTTTGTTATCCTCATAACCTTACTTTTTCCTATATTCACTTTTAATTTTCTTCTTTTACATACCCTACCAAATTCATCCAACAACCTCTGCAACTTCTCTTCAAAATCTCCCAAAAGCACCGTGTCATCAGCAAAGAGAAACTGTGACAACTCCCACTTTGTGTTTGATTCTTTATCTTTTAACTCCACACCTCTTGCCAAGACCCTAGCATTCACTTCTTTTACAATTCCATCTAGAAATATATTGAACAACCACGGTGACATCACACATCCTTGTCTAAGGCCTACTTTTACTGGGAAATAATCTCCCTCTCTCCTACATACTCTAACCTGAGCCTCACTAAATACGCTGTAAATACCAACTTATTTTTGAAGGAAATACAACAAATTATTCTCTCTGCTGCCTTTTTTCGTTCCTAATTGGTTATCGTGCTACGGTAAGGTGTGCAGGCCAATAGTGTATGTGTGTGTGTGTGTACTCATCTAATTGTAGTTGCAGGGGTCGAGACTCAGCCCCTGGCCCCGCCTCTTCACTGAATGCTACTAGGTCCTCTCTCTTCTTGCTCCATGAGTTTCATCATACCTCGTCTTAAAGCTATGTATGGATCCTGCCTCCACTACATCACATGTCAGACTATTCCACTTCATAATAACTCTGTGGCTGAAGAAATACTTCCTAACATCCCTTTGACTCGTCTGAGTCTTCAACTTGTGGCCCCTTGTTTCTGTGTAGCATCTCTGGAATATTACCTGGAGTTTACCTGGAGAGAGTTCCGGGGGTCAACGCCCCCGCGGCCCGGTCTGTGACCAGGCCTCCTGGTGGATCAGAGCCTGATCAACCAGGCTGTTACTGCTGGCTGCACGCAAACCAACGTACGAGCCACAGCCCAGCTGGTCAGGAACCAACTTTAGGTGCTTGTCCAGTGCCAGCTTGAAGACTGCCAGGGGTCTGTTGGTAATCCCCCTTATGTATGCTGGGAGGCAGTTGAACAGTCTCGGGCCCCTGACACTTATTGTATGATCTCTTAACGTGCTAGTGACACCCCTGCTTTTCATTGGAGGGATGTTGCATCGTCTGCCAAGTCTTTTGCTTTCGTAGTGAGTGATTTTCGTGTGCAAGTTCGGTACTAGTCCCTCTAGGATTTTCCAGGTGTATATAATCATGTATCTCTCCCGCCTGCGTTCCAGGGAATACAGGTTCAGGAACCTCAAGCGCTCTCAGTAACTGAGGTGTTTTATCTCCGTTATGCGCGCCGTGAAGGTTCTTTGTACATTTTCTAGGTCAGCAATTTCACCTCCCTTGAAAGGTGCTGTTAGTGTGCAGCAATATTCCAGCCTAGATAGAACAAGTGACCTGAAGAGGGTCATCATGGGCTTGGCATCCCTAGTTTTGAAGGTTCTCATTATCCATCCTGTCATTTGTCTAGCAGATGCGATTGATACACTGTTATGGTCCTTGAAGGTGAGATCCTCCGACATGATCACTCCCAGGTATTTGACGTTGGTGTTTCGCTCTATTTTTTGGCCAGAATTTGTTTTGTACTCTGATGAAGATTTAATTTCCTCGTGTTTACCATATCTGAGTAATTGAAATTTCTCATCGTTGAACTTCATATTGTTTTCTGCAGCCCACTGAAAGATTTGGTTGATGTCCGCCTGGAGCCTTGCAGTGTCTGCAATGGAAGACACTGTCATGCAGATTCGGGTGTCATCTGCAAAGGAAGACACGGCTGACATCCTTGTCTATGTCAGATATGAGGATGAGGAACAAGACGGGAGCGAGTACTGTGCCTTGTGGAACAGAGCTTTTCACCGTAGCTGCCTTGGACTTTACTCTGTTGACTACTACTCTCTGTGTTCTGTTAGTGAGGAAATTATAGATCCATCGACCGACTTTTCCCGTTATTCCTTTTGCACGCATTTTGTGTGCTATTACGCCATGATCACACTTGTCGAAGGCTTTTGCAAAGTCTGTATATACTACATCTGCATTCTTTTTCTTCTAGTGCATCTAGGACCTTGTCGTAGTGATCCAATAGTTGAGACAGACAGGAGCGACCTGTTCTAAACCCATGTTGCCCTGGGTTGTGTAACTGATGGGTTTCTAGATAGGTGGTGATCTTGTTTCTTAGGACCCTTTCAAAGATTTTTATGATATGGGATGTTAGTGCTATCGGTCTGTAGTTCTTTGCTGTTGCTTTACTGCCCCCTTTGTGGAGTGTGGCTATGTCTGTTGTTTTTAGTAACTGTGGGACGACCCCCGTGTCCATGCTCCCTCTCCATAGGATGGTAAAGGCCCGTGATAGGGGCTTCTTGCAGTTCTTGATGAACACGGAGTTCCATGAGTCTGGCCCTGGGGCAGAGTGCAAGGGCATGTCATTTATCGCCCGTTCGAAGTCATTTGGCGTCAGGATAACATCAGATAGGCTTGTGTTAACCAAATTCTGTGGCTCTCTCATAAAAAATTCATTTTGATCTTCGACTCTCAGTCTGGTTAGCGGCTTGCTAAAAACTGAGTCATATTGGGACTTGAGTAGCTCACTCATTTCCTTGCTGCCATCTGTGTAGGACCCATCTTGTTTAAGTAGGGGGCCAATACTGGACGTTGTTCTCGACTTTGATTTGGCATAGGAGAAGAAATACTTTGGGTTTCTTTCGATTTCATTTATGGCTTTTAGTTCTTCCCGCGA